TGAGACCCGCCCTGCGGCTTGGGGGGGGGAGTGAGACCCGCCCCGCTACAGCGGCGGGGGCAGGGGGGGGGGATTAGGGCGGCTGGGAGCAATGGGTGTTACACCTTCCTAGACTGCGTCAGACGGGAGGCCTCGATCAGGGCTGTGTGACCAGACGCTGTCCTGGTGCATTGTGATCTTAGCTCGTGGTCACGTCACAGGCTGAGGAGCAGGACCAGTGGCTGGACAATGTGTAGAGACCAAGGACTCCGTTCTAGGGCAGTAGGGAGCCACATTGGGCACCAAGTGAGGGGGGCTGCCAGGCCGTTTGCATAGGTCCTTTATGTCAGGGTCACTATCGGGCAAAGGAAAAGATTCTGAGAGCCTGGCTGGGCAGCCGAGCTCAGGTCCCCACCGGGAGGATGAGGGCTGGTCTGGAGAAACTGTATGGAGATAATGGGGGTCCTGGAGACCATGAGGGAGTGGGGAGCAGGTGTCCAAGATGTAGAACCACCCAGGCATGGCCGTGGTCTATCCCCCAGGGAGGGTCCCCGGGAGTCTGCACCACTACAGGTGAACAGAATCCCCAGCCTTACAGCAGCAGCTTCCTCCCTAACATGGCCGGGCAGGTTCAGGTCACACGAGGTTGACTCCCTCACAACCAAAGCCAAGGAGCAGGTTGTCTGTCCCAGGAGGTGTCTGCAAGCCTGGCTGGGAGCATCTGGGCCCAATTACCAGAAAGGACCTGGCTGAGCCCTGATCCCGGACTAAGCTCTGGATCCTGGGCCCCAGTTCCTCATACACTGACCCCTGATCCCACACTGAGCCCCAGTTCCTAACTCAGTTCTAGAGCGAGTGGTTGGCGCAGTCACCCATCACGTGCCCTGGCGATGGGAACCTCAGCTGGTCTGTGGGCTGTATGGTGCGCCCCCCAAACCCTTCCATTCTCCCTCTCTGGCCGCTGGATCCCCCCCCCCACCTTTGGGGATATGACTACAGCTGGGACCCCACCCCGATACACACTTTTGTCCCAGACATTAACCTTGGACTTGCATACTCCACCACCGTCACTGTGACTGTGGCTGCCTCGCAGACCCTAAGGCCAGGTCGCCACACCGCCAGGCCCAGGATGACAAGGCCTGCGCACTTCCTGTGTGGCCCTGGCTCTGCTGGATGTGGACTCATTCACGGCTGGCACCTCCACTCTCATCCACGGGGACGCCCAGAGTCCTGGGTGCCCCTGCCCTTCATCCCAGCACCACACACTGTCCTTCCAGGGGGCGTCCTCCAGCCTGGTGGTCAAGTTCGCCGACACGGACAAAGAGCGGACTCTGAGGCGCATGCAGCAGATGGTCGGCCAGCTGGGCATCCTGACGCCGTCCCTCACCCTGCCCTTCAGCCCCTACAGTGCCTACGCCCAGGCTGTGAGTGGCCCCACCGCCCCACCCTTCCCTCTCCCCGTCACTCATTCTCCCTGACCCAGGATCCTGTCCTGGATGGGCTGAGCCTCAGGCCCCACAGGGTAAACCGAGCCGCAGGCCAGGCCGAAAGCCCAGGTCTTGACGGACAGTCAGTTCCAAACACAGCCACCACCCTAATCCCAGACGTGCCCTGACTGTGGGCAGAATACCACTGTCCCCACTCATTCTGACCCCAGAGCCTGGATCTCACCATCCCTGAATCTGCATTTGGTCCAGCTCTGGCTAAATCCTCAAGGCTGACTTCAGCTGAGCTCCTGACTCAGCCTTGATCATTGCCTGATCCCTGATCCCAGGCCGAGCCCCAATCTCTGTCTGTCTTGTTCCTGGGCAGACCCAACCCCAATCTGGAGTCCTTTTTCTAAACCTAGTTCTGGGTCAAGGCCAAGCCTAGATCCTGTGCTGACCCAGATCCCAGATCCTAGCCTGATCTCCAATCTCAGGCTGAATCCTGACCCACAACTCAGTTTCTAACTTAGCCCTGAACCCAGACTGAGCCCCGATCCCAGGCTGAGCCCTAATGCCTGCCTGATCCCTGATCCCAGAATGAACTTCAGTCCAGGCCTCCATTTCTCTCTGAGCCCCGAATCTAAGCCGAACCCCAGTGCTAATGCCCACTGACCCCTGATCCCGCCCCAGTGACCTCCAGCCGAGGCCGCGTTTCTGACTGAGCCCTGAGCCCAGCTTCGGCTGTAACCTTCATGGGAATCCTCCCCCACCCCTGAGCCGCGGTGGGCCTGGCCCCACTCACAGCCTCTGTGTCCCCAGCTCATGCAGCAGCAGACGACGGTGTTGTCCACCTCCGGCAGCTACCTGAGCCCGGGCGTGGCCTTCCCCCCCTGCCACATCCAGCAGATCGGCGCCGTCAGTCTTAACGGTCTGCCCGCCACGCCCATCGCCCCCACCTCCGGTGAGAGCAGCTTCCGGGAGGCCCCCCGCCCCGTGCCTGGGTCCCCCCTCCATGTCTCACCCTCTCCCCTCCTCAGGGTTGCACTCGCCCCCACTGCTGGGCACCGCCGCCGTCCCTGGCCTGGTGGCGCCCATTCCCAATGGCTTCCCAGGAGTCCTGCCCTTCCCTGGGAGCCACCCTGCCCTGGAGACTGTGTACGCCAATGGCCTCGTCCCCTACCCAGGTAACTCGGGAGAGAGGGCGCCCGAGAGCTTGGGACGGTGTCTGGAGTGGGCACGGTGGCCGGGGGACATACCTAGGTCCCCACAGCACGACATCCTGGGCAGGGCAGGGCAGGACGAGGGGCGCCCGGGCAGGTGTGAGCGCAGGAAGAGGCTACGTGAGAATCGTGCATGGGGGAGGTTCTGGGTTCGAAATCCAGTTCAGTAATCTCGCTGGCTTCCAGAACTGGGAAAATGGGACAGACAGGCGACGTCAGAGCTGGGTGGGGGCGGGGAGGGGCCTCCGGCCAGTGTCAGGCACCTGCCCCTCCTGGTTTGCTGTCTGAGATGGGGGAGGTCACATTGTGTAGTCCAGGCTGGCTTTCAGTTCCCTGTGTAGCCCAGGCTAGGCTGCTCTTGGATGCCCTCTGTGGCTCAGGCTGGTCTGAAGCCACCCCTTAGCCTTGGCTGGCCTTAAACTAAGGGCAGTCCTCTTGCCCCGCCTCCCAAGTGCCGGGGTGACAGCGGCTGCTGACTTCATCCTTTATTCTGCGGCCAGCGGCGATTCTGGGCATTGCAGAAATGGGGCCCTGCGTGCTAATGGGGGAACTCGGGGATCCCCACAGGCTGGGGGGGTCAGGGCGGGGTGTGTGTGGGGGATGCCTCTTAGGTAAGGGGTTTCCTGGGTGCCCAGAGGGCAGGGTGGGGGCTGCGGGGTGATGGGCACATGGTTCCCGTCCCCTGCTCTCCGGGCGCCCTGGGCGAGGGTGCGCCCCTGTTTCTCTGACTCGCCATGGGGGTAACACAGGGGGGGACTGGGGTGGCCGTGGATGTCGGGGCTCAGCTCGCCCTCTGCCCCGCAGCCCAGAGCCCCACTGTGGCCGAGACCCTGCACCCCGCCTTCTCCGGAGTCCAGCAGTACACAGGTGAGGCAGCCCCGGCCTGACCCCGGGCAAGCCTGTGCCCGCTCCCTCGGGGTCCCACCCTCTGCTCCCCCCGGGGTCCCACCCTCTGCTCCGGCTCGGGGTCCCACCCTCTGCTCCCCCCGGGGCCCCACCCTCTGCTCTGGCTTGGGGGGCCACCCTCTGCTCCCCCCGGGGTCCCACCCTCTGCTCCGGCTCGGGGTCCCACCCTCTGCTCCGGCTCGGGGTCCCACCCTCTGCTCCCCCCGGGGTCCCACCCTCTGCTCCGGCTCGGGGTCCCACCCTCTGCTCCCCCAGGGGTCCCGCCCTCTGCTCCCCCGGGGTCCCACCCTCTGCTCCCCCCGGGGTCCCACCCTCTGCCCCGGCTTGGGGTCCCACCCTCTGCTCCGGCTCGGGGTCCCACCCTCTGCTCCCCCCGGGGTCCCACCCTCTGCTCCCCCCGGGGTCCCACCCTCTGCTCCCCCCGGGGTCCCACCCTCTGCTCCCCCCGGGGTCCCACCCTCTGCTCCGGCTTGGGGTCCCACCCTCTGCCCCGGCTTGGGGTCCCACCCTCTGCTCCCCCCGGGGTCCCGCCCTCTGCTCCCCCCGGGGTCCCGCCCTCTGCTCCCCCCGGGGTCCCGCCCTCTGCTCCCCCCGGGGTCCCACCCTCTGCCCCGGCTCGGGGTCCCACCCTCTGCTCCCCCCGGGGTCCCACCCTCTGCCCCG